AAACTAAAGAGGACAGATTTGTAATGTGGGAACATGAAATGAAAAATTTCTTAAAAATAACAAGGAAACAAACAGCAATAATACAAAGGCTAGAAGATGATAAGAGGTTCTATAACTTAAGAATTAAGAACGTAAAGGAAGAAGTAGGGACACAAACAAATGAACTACAAAGGCTATTCACAGAAATAATCCAGGAGAATTTCCCTAATTTAGCAAAAAGGTAAAGATACTCAGATGTATGAGGCATACAGGACTCCAGCTACCTACAACCCAAACAGAACTGCACCTAGGCATATAATAATCAAAATTTCAGAAATCCAATATAAGAACAGAATATTAAAAGCCATCAGAGACAAGAAATAGATCACTTACAAGGGAACACCCATCAGAATTACAGCAGACTTCTCGGCACAAACCATCAAATCATGAAGAGCGTGGAGGGAAATAATTCAAGCTTTGAAAGATAATAACCTCCAGCCAAGATTGATATATCCTGCACAACTGTCCCTAGAAATTGATGGAAAAACAAAGTGCTTCCAGGATAAAGAGGAACTAGGGGAATTTGCAACCACCAATTCAACTCTACAGAGACTACTGCAGGACATTCTAAAAAAGAAAAATATCAAGATTCCAGAAATAGTGGCAGAGAGGCCACAATGAATGGAGCAGAAAGCGAAATGAAGAAGACAAACTGACAACTAATGACAGAAAAAGAGCTCAACAGAAATGAGGCAGAGAAGGTTGGATGGTATGAACAGCTATTTTGGAGAAAACAAGACATCATAATATCTAGTGCTGGTTTAATATCATCTTGTTTTGAAGTCCCATCAAGCTTTTGTTCTTCTATCTCCATTGGTCTTAATATGTTGTATCTTATTGGATTTTATTATATGTGATAATATAAACAAAAACTTTTATAGACAAGGAGATTATACAGAAACCACTGTTCATTTTCTGTTAGTTGATTCTAAATACCCTGTAATCCTGTCATTCTTTTGAATGGTTTTACATTGTCTTGATATGTTTGATGCTACAGTATACGAAGTTATATACAAAGATTTCAAGGAAAGAGACACTATGGTAACTACAATTATGTCAAGATTATCTTGTGGTGAAACACTATTTTGCTTAAATGGCTATGTTTTGACCTGCGCTGTTTTTTTGTTATGTCCTCTTTTATCTCAATCTCCTTTTTTTATTATTTATTTTTTTATTTTTATCTTTTTAATTAAGGGAAGAGTAAATAAAAAATAGCAGGATATTTTATAGTAACCTACTTTGATTTCCTATTAACTTGATTTGAAACCCTGTATTGCTCTCACCATCTTGTTTCACTGATTTTCCTCTATTCTGTTTTGCTTGATAGTACCAAGTTCGAAAGTATAGGCAACAACTATGAAGACAATAAGATTCATTATGACACCCATTCTGGTTTGACTATTATCTTCTTTTGAAGTCCTGTAATGTCTCCAATGTTTTGGTTTTATTGGTTTTGTTCTTTACTCTTCAATTTTATTATAACTGATGATATAGCAAGAGGCATTATGGTAACCATTGTTGATCACCTTGTATTTTGTTTTTACATTATGTATTATGTCCATCCTTTTGATTTGACTGACTCTGTTTTGTTATATCACGTTTGGTTTTATTCTCTTCAAAAAAAGTAATTAGAACTGTGGGAGTAATAAAACCCAAAATGTGTAATTGTCATTGTACAAAAGAGAGGAAAAGAAAGTGCTCTAAAGTATGTAACTGCATGCATATTTAAGTATATAAGATAGATAACCATATTACTGAGTTTTGTTGGATCACTGAACAGAACTGTTTGCAGTCTCACTGTTTGAATGTCCACTTTATATGCTTTAATTTTGTAACTTGAACAACTATTTCTAAGATGGCAATATGTAATCTATTAACTAGTGATTTCCTACTGTTTATTTTTTCTGAAATTCTGTATAACTTGTATCCTTTTTCTATTTTCTTTTTCTCCTTAAATAAAATTTTTAAAAAATTATAGAACAAATCTAATATTTGTAAAATACTGGTAAATAATGAGGTAATAAAAAGCAGAGCAACAGTAGTAATTCCAATGAGTAAGTGGTAGGGTGCAGGAATAGCAGTAATAACTGCAATGGTCAGATCTGTATTTTGAATATTCCCAGCCTACCAAATACTATACCTGATACTGAATCCCTCTAATGCCCAGAACCATCCAAAAGCCACTCCAATTATAACAAGAAGTTAAACAGGATTCAGAAAAATGATCTGTGTTATGAATTACCATCTAATAAATATTACCCACATTGGATATCAAAATTTTTTGAAGATGGCATCGATTGCTTGTTTACATTTTTATATATTGCCCATAAACTTTAAATCAAGACTTACTGCACTGGGAAAGAAAAATCAGATTAAAATTAAAGCAGCATTTCCAAGAGATAAATTACAGGAAAGTACAAGCAAGTAATAATTTTTTTCTTGAGACAGGTTCACACTAGTCTTGAACTCACTATGTAGCCCAGGCTGTCCCCCAATTCAGGGTGATTCTACCGTCTCAGCCTCCCGAGGGCTGGAATTACAGATATGTGCCACCACGCCCGCTACAATGAGATAAATTTCAGTGAAAGATGGTGATACAGAAAGCAGGAGCAGGGAAAAGCCTTAGGTAACAGAACTGGTGACATGTCTAGCTAAGGACCACTGAGCATCACTTGCAGCTGCCAGAAGAGGCAGCAGAGGGACAACAAAGAACTGTGTGAGCAACACATGGGACTTACTCTGGCTGCTGTGGCCTTCATTCTCAGTGTACCTGAAATTACTTTGAAAGAGTCAAATTTCAATAGCAGTGAGTTCCTGATCATATTGTTTTCCCATTAAGCTCATTACTAAAACAGCTTTTCACAATATCAGTTAACACTTTGAAAATCTGTTCCCACCCAACCATCTCGTCTGGAGTATGTCTTCTCCTCTAGTACTATTTTGTTTCTCTAATACAGGAAAGAAGTACAAATTTTAATCATGTTCTAAAACAGTGAGAGAAACAACTATGACTGAGTGAAGTAAGAAAACAATACAGATCTCAGTGCTGGAACACAGAATCCTGGCTGTGCCACCAAGACGATATTTAGCCAGTCTAAACAACACTGCTGTACATGAGCATGCTCCGACATTCCTCTCAAAGTTCTGGTTGGAGAAATTATTTTTAAAAGTTTGTCATTTTTATGTGTGGGATGGTAGGTCACTGTAACAGATTTAAAACACATTAAGTGACAAATACTTGCTAATATCTTGAACTTGTACTTTTCTTTGAATATTTTACGTAGTTTAATAATTTAGTCTGATAACAACTTTAATAGTTGGGGGAAAGAAGTTGGAACTGCAACACCAATTAAATACATTAAAAATAGAAAAGCTATTCCAAGTAGTTTCCCTCATAATATTGATTCCAAATGATTACTATAGTACAAGTCAGTACTATTCCTAGTTACCATATTTAATCAAGACTTCAGAGATATGTCAAAACATTAAAAAGATATCATCACAAGTATTATACTATGAGAAAATAACTCATGCCAATAAGTTTAAAGACCTAATTTGTATTGTGTCCTATCTAGGTACTGCTATCTTTGAAAAGTAATATAACTTTGGCTTTATGCATTTAATTTGGGATTCATATATTCCCAGGCAGGGACAGTTGCAGATTCTACAGAAACGTATTTCTATTCTAGCTCAAAAGAAATTTTCTTTCCCCCAGAAGAGTACAGACTGGTCACCAGATGTGGAACCCATATGACACATGAACACAACAGCTCAGGGACAAAGAATGGAACTTAACTACTCAGCAGGCAGGGGTAGTGACTCTAACATTATGGACAAATGTTTGGTTCAATTGACTTTCTGGGGGAAAATATAAATCACTTTATTTTTAGACCCAGAAATATGCCTAGGCAGGTCATTTTCTCGGTGAGTTCAGTGAGCAGCTTGCTTGCTTGCATACTGTTTTCCTTTTTTTTTTTGGTTCACAAAGATACTTATCCACATGGAGTCTATTACTTGGTCTGAACTCTGTACTTTTCACACAAAATTCACTTTAAAGTTAAAAAAAACTGAATTGGAGTAGGTACTACGATTGTTCATAACTGGTAAAGAGTTAAATTTTGTTTACTTTAAATGTTAAGAATCATTTACAGCAAATAAGCCATAAGGCTTGTAAATTCTGCTTCTCGTTTGTCTCTGGAATTTACACCTTCCACCCCAAGTGTCAATCTTGTATTACAGGTGCCACAGAAACACAAAGAAAAAATTTAAAAACTATTCATTTCATCTAAAGTGGAATAAACGTGGTCATAAATTCTTTGCTTTTCCTCCCTTTGGAAAATAAAATGTAATTTGTTAGCCTTTAGTTCTGGACTCATCAACAGAAGTTCGAGAAGTTTCTAGGTTGGGCTCTTAGAAGTATTTCAATTTTCACCAGTCCCCCCAGAACAATCTCTCTGGGGACCTGACCTCCACTTCAGAAGTGTGACTACTCTAAGACTGTCATGCTGGAGAGGCCAAGAGCAGGCTCTTTCTATAGTCAAACCCATCCTTCTCTGTACAAGCCTATCCTACCAGGTGAATGCCACCAAATAACTTCACTTAATGTCATGTGTAGCCAAAGAATCACGAAATTGATCCCTGCCTGAATTCTTGCCACCCAACATCATGAGATATAAAAACACACTTGCTTAAGCCACTAAATTTTGAGGTAATTTGCAACTGATAGCTGAAAAACCTAGGACTCACGAAAAAGTACAATAATCATTATGATATATTTTCCAGTATTTATTTTCTTTGTTTTTAAGGAAGCACTTAACTTCTTTCTACTATCCCCATATTTTATTATTATTTAATAGAGGTAGGTTCATAGTATACATGCAGTTTTGTCTTTCAGGTCCACATAAACTCTCTTCATATTCACATGATATGATTAATATCCCCCCATTCAAAATATCCTGCAGATTCTCTCGTGGTCCATAAACCTAATGATTGGGTTTCCGCACCATTTATGAGATGTGCCTTTCTCAAACTTGTTATGATGTCAAAACATTACTTGTCTGACATGAAAAAATTAAGAAGCAAAATGAAAAACATTTAATAGGAAACAGTGAAACAGATATTTTACAAAAAGAAAAGGAATCAAGGAAGGGAGGGAGGTAAAAGAGAAAGAGAAGAAAGGAAAGAAAAAAAGAATTAAGATGTATAACATACACATAGCAACTACCCACAATGAATATAATTATTATGTACTACCAATATACTAATAAAAATAAAAATTGAAAAACATACATGTAAAATTATTCTTCAGTAACTTGTTAATGACTACATATAATTGTTAATGATTACATAATGCAGTGCATCAATATTGTACTGTGGAACATTTAACTTATTCCTAATTCTTTATTATAATAAATAAAACTGTAATGAACATCTTTCAACATGAATCATATTAGCATCTTTGCTTATATCATTAAGATTACCAAAAATGAAACTACTAGGAAAGATATAAACCCTTTCAAGGACTGTTAGATACATTTCCAAAATGCTTTGACAAAATTCATTCTTTCAACAATAATGGTTCTGGATAACCACACTGTTAAACTCTACCCAACATGAAATGTCATATAGATCAATCTTTGTCTTTATGGCAAAAACATTTTCTATTTTGTTTGCCTTTTACTTTCATACTACACAAAACAACTCACTGAAAACAAAACAAAGACTCATATTATCCCTATAGGGACTGTCTTAGTTACTTTTTACTCGTTGCTGAGACAAAATACCTGAAGCCCAAAGTTGGGAAAGGAAAGGTTTATTTCTTACAGTTTTTGGAGGTTTCAGTCCACACTCAGTTGGCTCCAAGACAGGCGGGCATGGCTGGACCGCCATTCATGGCAGCTGCAAACGGCAAGCTCGAACCAGCAAAGAGAAAGACACACCTTCTTCCTGCCATTACATCACATCCTGGCTCCACCCCTACGTGGATGGAGCACTGACACCATCAATCCAAGCACTATACAATGAACCATCACAAATGAACAATGCAAACTCATGAAGCCTGGGGGACACAAACATAAACCATGACAGGGACTAACTCATAAAAGACATATACTCTCTTTAAAATCACAATAAAGTGTTGAAAAAATCACATGGGTAGATAATATGAGAAACTGATCCATATGTCAGAGTGATAATCTATCAACGTTTGAAGTCTTTTCCCCTGGTATAATCGTTTAGGCCAGTTAATCATTTGTTTAGTTACTAATTTTTAGAGAACTCAAAATCAGGAGATTAAAAAAATGTGTTCCTACATACATTGTCAAAGAAGATTGCTGTTACAATATGTGGTATAAACAATATGTAGTGGCCAGCTGTAGACTTTTTTCTGCACAGACACAAAATGAAGCAAGTTTCTCTAGACCATTTACATAATGTTTGTGATATGATACCAGAACCCTAGACTCTAAGTTCTAGACTGGTACTTTTTCCCACTAGAAATCACTTAGCAAAAGAAGTAAGTGTTAAGGAGCACTACATATGGTCCTTCTAAAGAACACGTTTCTGTGGGAGACTGGTATCACTCAAAGTCATCAAGTCAAGCACCAGTGCACTCCAGAGGAAAAAAACAGAGCAGCGTCCACTAGGCACTTGTCCACTTCTGACGTCAGTCCCTTTTGACTGAGAAGTAGAGAACAGAAGTGACTAAGGTGGAGGAGGTGCCAAGGAATACACACTCAGTCAAGTGTACAAGTAAACCAGCTCAATCAAATCCCATGTCCCCAGCCAAAGAAGAACTTGGGTATTTCTTGAATTATTCCTCCAACTTTTGAAGACCAGCAGCCTTTGGCCAAACAAAATGCCTCAATGAATAATTCACCCCACCTAGCTTCTATAATAAAGGAAAATGGAAATCTGCATCTACAACCAATCTTACTGTCAAACTTCAAGCATCCAGTAATGTTTAGCTAACCTCTAGCACTCTCAAAACCCTAGATATTCATCCAGCTGAGGCATACACCTCTCTCAGAAAAAGAAAAAAAAATGCACCTTTGAGTTATACAAAGATATTCTGTAAATAGGCATAACTAACGCTCTGTTTCACTAAGCTATACTCATTAAAAATAATAAATTGGACAATGCTATTTTCTTTCATGCATAGGAATCTATGTTTTAAAAAGAAAGAGAAGAAACAAAAGCTCAGGAAGCACTGAGGTAGTAGCCAGCATGGTAACAACAGCTGGAGGGAGTGTCTCAGGATAGAAGACCAGTCAGAATTATTATTTCCCTTCTGGTCAAATAAGCCTGTTTTCTTCTTGTTTTCCACCAAATGAAAACCCATACACATGCGCCTTAGCAACTGACATGAAGTCTGTAATTGAAACTTTTTTGGTAGACCCACAAAATACTAAGAACCAAAATTTTAGTTTTGAATTTACTTTGCTTGATTACTAACTCTGGCTTCCAGCTGGAATAACATAGGATACCATAACTTTTAAGGCAAGCCCAGTTTAAGAGCAGTAGTTAACATATACATTGCATTCCCATTTTCTAATCAGGTGCTTGGCACAAATTTACCTAAGTCCAAAGCAGGCAATGTGCCCAACTTGGGCAAAGGAATAGAATTTCATGGGTGTTCATTTCTGTTTCTCTCTTCTCTTCTCTCTCTTCTCTTCTCTTCTCTTCTCTTCTCTTCTCTTCTCTTCTCTTCTCTTCTCTTCTCTTCTCTTCTCTTTCCCTCCCTCCCTCCCTCCCTCCCTCTAACTAACCACTTCTTCCTTCCCTCCCCTTCTAGTTATTCAAGAAAACAATACTTTAATGTGATGGGGAAAAGAACATTAAAATAAAAAATTCTGCAAGAAAAACAGTGAAATTGACTTGACACATACCCTCACAGAGAAATGTATATGGTTCACCTAAAGGATTCATGAGTAAAGCTCCAGATGAAATATCTAATTTAAACACTCAAATTATAGATGTATCAAGACCAAGGGAAAACAAATTAGTGGAAAACGTTAGATTTTTGTGATCTTAGTACTCATACAAGAGGTTATTAACTTAATTGGATATAATTGAGCATTTTATTAGTGGAATATATTGGCCCTATCAACTTCTGAAAATTTTTTTTCTTATACCTAAGAACAAGTATAAGAGGGGTGTAGTGGAAAGTGGTCAGGGCACTTTCAGGAAGATGGTAGAGTGTGAGCAGTGAGAAAGAGTCTCTCTGAGAGTTTCGGTCCTTAAATGGGGAAAGGAACAAGGGAGAGAGGAGAAGAAAAGGAAAGAAAGAAAGGAAAAATAGAAAGAGATTTGGTGTCCTGATGAGGAAGAGGAGGAGGTACCCAGGAAGGATCCTAAGTGAAAACTGAAACCTATAAGGAAAGCAAAAAGGGAGACTTCAGTGAAGAGAAGGTGGCGGCATCTGACACTTTCTCACTGAGTCCGGACTCACTGCATGGAAGGAGGGGCCCGAACCTGCAGCCCACAGTGACTGCTGGCAACCCTAGAGGACTCCATGGAGAAACTCAGAAGTGAAACGGGGCAGAGGATGCAGCAGATTGCAGTGGCTGGTGAGCTCTTTGGGTTCAGTCATCCCCCAGAAGAGGGCTACTGGATAACAGCCATCTTGGAGAGGGGCCAACTGAGCTCAGAACTCAGCAGAGCTGCAGGCTACCTCCGTATAGCAGGTCCCAGTGTCAAGTTAACAGGAGGTTAGGGAGTCTAGTTCAAGTCAGCAGAAAATCCAGTTAAAGATAGCAAGAGACATGTGGAGAGTTACAGTCTGAACAGATAAGGTTCCAGCCTCAGAGGCAGAAACCAGCCTGAAGTTCAGTGGAACTCAAGGTTCAGGTTTCCTGAGATAACCCACTCCTCCAGGGCAAAGCTGTGGCCGGCTTGCTGAGATGATCTACTCACAGTTGCAGTCTCTGTTCACAGTATCTACCAGTGAGAGCAGAGCTTTGAAGTGAACATATTTTTTTCTTTTCCTATATTTATTTTTGTTGTATTTTTTGATTGTTCTTGTTTTTATACGAATGTAAATATGTTTCCAGTTTTTTGTTGTTGCTCTTTTCTGATCTTCTGTCTTCCTTCTCTTCTTCCTTTATATTTTCTTCACCAGTTTCCCAAAGTTTGCATAATCTTCCTTTTTCCTCCAGCCTTGCTTCTAATCTCTTCTTCTACTTCTCTGTATTTTAACCTATAAATCCTTAAATCTTCTCCTCTGAGAGTAATTAGCCATGTCACGGGATTATTTGTTGTGTATGATTTTCTGAATTGTTTTAGATTTTATATATAACAACAAATCTACTTCAGACAGTTAAAACTGGCAAGTTAATAGTTACCACAGTTTGCCAGTTTGAAACCATGTTGGATGCTATTGTTACTGCTGTTTGTGCTACTATAGCCAAGATGACACAATTGTTCTTATCAGTTGTTCTTCTCATTACACCAAGACTGAGATTGCCTAAGGGTCATAAACAATACTAAGCACCAGTGTCAAAGAAACACGGCTGGACCCAGTAGGCAGCAACTTTTTCTATGTTAGTATTTGTTTTATGTAGTTTGGGTGCCCTGGTATTTGGTGTATATATATTTATGATTTTTATCTGTTCTTCTTGGATTGTTGCCTTGACAAGATTGCAGTGATCTTTTTTTTTTTCTCTCTCTCTCTCTCTCTATTCTGATCAGTCTTGACTTGAAAATCCACTTTGTCTGCAAGTAAAATAGCTAGTCTGGCTTTTTTTCCAGCTTCTTGCCACATGGAACACTGTTTCCCATACAGAACTTCTAAATTCAGTCCAGGAAGCAAGCATTACCCTAATATCAAAACCAAAGAAGGATCTAACCAAAAAAGAGAACTACCGGCCCATCTCCCTAATGAACACAGATGCAAAAATCCTCAATAAGATATTGGCAAACAGGTGGGCAGAAAGAGCCAGACAGATCTGCCTCTGCCTGTTAGGAGCTGCCACCAGAAGGCTCCTTCCTGCGGGCAACCAGGAGGAGCAGGGACTCATAGCCAGGTAATTCCCATGCAATTATAGGCACCATTGGAGGCCCTTAG